ATGGTGTCTCTTTTTCGTCAACCCGAACTGCGCTTGATATTTAAATGGTCAACTTTGACTTTGTAGCAATCTATGACCATACTGCAGTATCTTTCTATGCCACTGCAAGATATTCCGGCAGGATCGGTCACTTGCGCCTTGATTAGTATGTTGAGGCAGGCAATTGCATCGAACCAAGCCGGGTAGTTGTAGATAACATGCTCATTCACATAAACCGTAAGGAGTTTTCTTAATGTCTGCCTCTTCACTGCAGTGTCACTTTTTGTGATGCTAGTTGGCATCAATGGAGTTTCAACCCATGTGCAGAGCGCCGTGATTTTGAAATTAGTAGTTATTTGCCTAATCTTGTGATCATGCCTTATGTGTGAGCTCTCTTGTTTTAACTTATATCGTCCTGAGTTTTTGGCCTCTGCATACTGGTGCAGTCATGCCCACAGCTCACGGTTTGTTCCCACATAAGGTTGGTCTGTTAATCCGATGTACCCCTTGCGTTGTTTTCTTAATGTTTTAGTGTTTAGGTTTGACCGTCCGATTTGGTTTTTATCGACTATTACTTGTCTGATTACATCAGGTACAACATTCTGTCGACTGCCCAGTAAATTGTAATACGATAAGTGAAGCAAGTGACATCCCCAGTTAAGTTAGTCCAAACAGTTCTTCGTGAACCTTCAAAACGTCATCGTTTCATGTAAAACTTCTTGTGAAGAAGACTCGCCGAAGTTTTGTACCTCTTTTAAGCCCACTTCGACTCTCGCCATCAGTTCCACTGTTTACCAGCTTTCGATTAATCGACTGGTACGTGCCGTTTCAAAAAAGCATTTGTTTTTCATCCAACCAATCATCAATACCTTTAGTCTTTGGTGTTTCAAAGTCTAGATACTTCGAGCTTTTACTCCTGTAGTGCATCCTATTGGTATATAGCATCGTTTGAATGCTTATTTTCGGGCGATCAGTCTACCATGCGCGCCGAAATCAAACCTAGCTAATGAATGACAAAAATCGCTGAAATTACACTGCAGTAGTACTCTAAGGTACTTCCTATCTCGCTAGATAGGTTTCTGCATAAATCTTTATAGGTAATGCGCTATCATATGTGTCCCTCAGCGGGCCTCTAGGCCGCAGCTCCATAGCAAACGGAATCATCTGTTTTTCGTCTTGTGACAGGAACTTATCAGGGAACAATGGTAAGCGTTCAAGTTTTCATAAGTTAAAGTTCCGGGATAGGAATTTTAGAACATGATAATGCTCACCGGAACGTGTTTTTGTCTTCGCTGACGTTTCAGCGAGCTGGGCCGGCTCTCCTTTGCCAAAGCGTATACTGTCACTATCGATCAACAATTGGAATGTGTGGCTGCATATGTCGGCCGTGGGCTGATCATTTTTTTGTCGTTCGCTGCCTCGTCCCTCGTATGGATGTTTGTGTAATTTGGCGGCAATTACTATTGCACTTAGTACTCACGGTGGAGGATGCGAGTGAAAACGGCCCCGTAAAGAAACTGCAGAAGAGGCAGCAGGATTACCGACATTCTTCACCGTGAGGATGAAGTGTGACGCCAACTGCCGTCAAACTACGCAAACATTCATACCTGAGGCAACAAAAAAATGGATCAGTCCAAGTCCGTCAAGTGCAGCCACATATTCAAATTGTTGATCGAAAATGGCAGTATACGCCTTGTCCAGCCCTCCGAAACGTCAGCAAAGATAAAAACCTGTTCCGGCGAGCATTATCATGTTACTAGGTTAGAGTTCATTTTAGATGCTACCTCTCAAGTGTATGTGATCTTACAGCTGAGTCCTGCCCTTCTAGAAATTAGTCTTACTATTTAATTGCACCCACTGATTGCAAGACTCCCATTGTCCATACGGAGGTTCAAGCAGCGAGCGTAGAAAAATCGATCAACCCATGGCCAACACACACAGCCATAACTTTAAATTGTTGATCGATAAAGTCAGTTCATGCTTTGACAAAGGACAGCTGGCCCAGCTGTCCGAAACGTCAGTGGGCAAAGAAACACATTCCCCTGAGCAAAAATGATCTATGACATACTCCTGCCAGCCGGTGTGCACGTCAAACGATTATTGGTTTTTTCGGACGTTCAAAATTTTAATTGTTTGTTGCATATTTTCTCAGGTCTGACGACGGACGGTGGAATCTGTCTCGAAAATTTACGCATTAAAGTTTCATCCTTCCCAAAGAAACCTTTTTCTTCTTAATAAGCTTTAATATTGTATTAAATAGTGAAATCGGCGAACAGTGATATCGTTTCTGTTGTCAATTCGCTGGAGTGACATCCAAATATAGCTAAGAGTTTAATTCGAATAATATTTCCTCATTTATGCACCTAGATTTGGATTCAATATTTACGGTCTTGCCTTGCCTGCTGTACTCCTAGATCAACAGAGCCCCTTCGAGCAATAGTCCTGTTGATGACTCTGCAGACCACATGTCAATCCAACTGGAGTGTAGCAGAACACGCCCCATGTCGCTACCTTCCATGGAGAACTCGCCGGAGAACTCCCCACCCGCCTCGCCCAGACATAGTCATCCCGAGTCCTATTCGCTTTCCGCACCTGCCTCTATCAGTTCGCAACCGGAATTGGTGATTTCCCGGAAGATTCAAAGGTTTGTTGCATCCAACTTCCGCTTTTTGCCTTATTATTTCCCTAGGAAACAATTCGTCTAAAGCGCTACTCTTTTTTACCCACAGCGCTGCCACTGTCGGCAACGAGGATATATCAGTTCTGGTTCAAAAGATCCGCGTACTGGAGCGTCGTGTTTCCAAGTTAATGCATGTGGTTCAGGCCCAGGGCAATGCTCTACGTGACATGTCAGCCAGGGTGCGTCATACGAGTCGCTGCGGCTGCTGGTCCTCTTCTTCTTCCGTTTCTAATAGTGGCACCATAAATTAATTCTCTGCTGCCCGCGTTCCTCCTTCATCCATCCCCTCTCTCAAAAAGCTGAAGACTTTCCTGTAAATATGTATGACAAGCCCTTTCTGTTTTACTGCCGACCGCCTGTGGTTGTGTGGGTGCATCGGCAAGCAGGCGCGTTCTGCATGGATGACTGTGCGTTATGAATGCTCCTATCTTTTTGTTTTTGACGTGCAAACACAAGCCAATATCTAGCGACATAGTATTTTTATGCTTTGTATCGATAAATTTCACCTTAAATAAATAGTCCTACGAACATAAATCGGGCCTTTTTTAATAGCACACGACAATCTCGTTCCATAATCTCCTGTCCGGACTGCTAGGCATGCCACTACCACCAGTTTATAAACAACCAACAACTATCTGCTTGTCTGGCAGAACTAATAACCTTTCAAGCAGTTTTCGCCGCAGAAAGCGTTCTAATCGATGGTTCTCTTATAATATTTGCAGTTGTTGAGGGCACCAATGTACCGCGTTTTGTCACGATTCTTTAGTAATGAGGGCAACATATGGACACAGTGTCTTTAATAAGTATTCCGATGTTATATGATACACTGGCAACAACATTAAGATGTAAAGTGAATGTCAACGTCTTGAGGTAAACGCTAGAGCGGAGCGAGCTTTCGAGCACCGCACCTGACGCAGGCGCGTCGTTTGCGTTGTGCTGAAGTTTTGTCGTGCGATAAGTCTGGTCCAGAAAAGTTAACTCTCAAAAAGTGATGTCCCTACGGTCACTTTCATATTTTAAACCGACTTCTACCTAAGCCTGCAATTTATTTGTCTGCAATCTTTATGCATAGAAAGTATTGAATGCAATTAAAGAGTTTCGACAATCAGAGATCATGTTAGTTTTCACCAGATTGAGTCTATGTGTTCGCTGAGGTTTCGGAGAACTTGGCCGGCTATCCTTTTTCAAAGCGTAAACTGCCTTTTTGATTATCAACGTTAAACTGTGGCTTTACGCGTTGGCCTTGGGCTGATGGATTTTTCCTCGTTGGCTGCCTGGCTTCTGGATCTTGGTATACATTGACGGCAGTTAGTGTAGCGCCTTGTCTCCACGGTAGAAGATCCTGGTAATCCTGCTTGCTCTTCGTCATTAGGTCTTCCTCGATTGCACTTCCTAAGTTCAGTTTGACTATGCTCTGTTCTGCTCTATATGTTTGTTGTCATGTGGGCATGCCTCTTTGTACGGAGTTGCAGATCAGCGGATGCAGGCAGGCAGATTTTGCCTGACTGTCCGGCAGATTCGGGTTCTTACGAGCGATGTAGCCGTTTAAGTCTACCCATTTACTTTACAAAAGGTGGTTTCGATCGAACGCCCTAATTTGGTTTTGAGATACCAATGGCTGTCGGTTTTTCAGGTGGACGAGTACGCCCACTTAGAGGCCCCTAGACTCCTTGAGAAGGTTCTGTCTTTTTTGGGTTATGCTTATGTAATGACGATGGGACTGCAGTTTATTGTGGCCAAACCGAGAAATGTGCCTCAACCTGCATATACTAACATCAATCAGTGGTCAGAAGATGGGACCATTTATCCCAGGTGGCCATACACACATTGGAAACCGGCAATAAATTCGCATGAGACAAGACACGGATTGTTGGCACTGATACAATTAGGAAAGGCCGTGAATTCCCGGAAGCAATGCACTCAGACGACGCATGCATAAACCGACATCGATTTCGATGCCAGCTATAATTCTCTCAAGACCGGGTTCAATGCGCGCGCTCAACCACAGTGAAAGGACGAAACGCATGGAACGCCTACTGCCACAGACTGAAATAATCCTCAAGTTCGCAAACGTAAGAATTCCGGGCTTAGAATCATAGATCACTCACCAGCCACCTGTAAATTCTACTTTAGCAAGAGGGACTTTGGAATGGTATAGCAGACGGCTGACTAGAACGTTAATTCAAGATTGCCACCAAAGACAGAAGTTGACCAATGCAAATTCAACTTCTTACCGAGTGCCAGTGAAAAATCAAGGGATATTGAGGAAGCAATCCGCACACATGCACGAAAAGCGTGGAACAAAAACGACAAGGAATTACCAGATAAACTGATTAAACTGTAACCGCCCCGCACGACTAACTCTCCGGACTTCGTCCATAACCTTTCCTCCGAACCCCTCACCAGCGAGCAACTTGAACGTGGAGCAACTTCCGGCACAGCAGAAGCTTCACCCACTGAGTTCATTGCCGCATTTGAAGGCCTCAGGTGAAACAAAAGAGTTAATCTGCCATAAAACATCATCGCTTCTTATGCAATACAAAAGGTGCGTAACTCTTGACCGAGAAGAGCAGAGAGTATTAAAAAGCCTTAAAATGGATGAAGACATTATCATACTGCCGGCTGACAAAGGTCGTTCAACAGTGGTGCTCAACAAACCTGATTACCAAAAGAAAGCCCAGATCCTACTTGACGAGCAGAATTCGTGTATGCCTAGCTAGTGAACAGAAACATCTGCTTATCCAAATGAACAAAATTCAAAGTGAATGGTGCAATCACGCTCAGCGATGGATTTTGCATAAAATCAATTGACACGATTTTACGGTCTGCCAAAAGTGCACAAGGAGAACATACCATTTAGGCCAATCGTCTCCCTTCGTGGCACCCCTACATACGGTTTGGTAGAATAGATGTTTGCTCATCTTAAGTTCCTGACTATAGGCTCGACAAAAACCGTAGCCTCTGCCAGACAGTTCCTTGAACGCAGAAAACACCCGAAGTTAGAGCCAGACAAATCCATGGCAGCCTTTGGTGTTCTATCGCTCTTCACCTCTATCCCACAGCAACTGGCAATTGATTTTGTGAGACTACTCCTAACTGAGCACTACGACGAGAGGGAAAAGCCCCAGAAGTCTGAACTCTTTCTTGATCTTCTACGATATTGCCTTGAAACTTTCTTCATCTTTGGTGGAAAAATTTATGAATAGATTGAAGGCACTTTGATAAACTCCCTCCTCTCAGGCCTAATTGATGAAGTGGAACTTCAATGGATGTAACGCTTGGTCTTCACCAATTATTAATCGGAGTG